AACTTGTTAACATGTTACGTAAAATACCGTCTCAAAATAAACTGGGTCCTGTTTCATAAAACTATCATTGCACTACAACTATCGTAACTTCTTCACTTTGACGTAATGTTACGACAGTTTTAGCACCAAGACTGCTTTGCACTGCGGCCCCCGCATCCCAAGGGATCCGTACAAAATTTACCATTCAAAGTGAAAATATAAGTCAGGTTTAAGAGTGATTGAAAAATTCCAGTCCTTTAATAAACACTGTGTTTGATACTTTTGAAGCCATACCATGTCGTTGTGTTAATATGGATGGCCATGTCTTATCTTATCAGGACCATGAAATTTGACATGTTCAGCAGTAAATATGGTCAAACCGTCTGCATGGATTATTTGTGAAATGATAACAGAATTACAACATCGGTCAGAGAACTATGAAGATTCTGGAAGTACATCAATATAAATGTACTGGCAAACAAGGATAAGTTGGACCGGGAGCAGAAAACTCGTTTACGAGAAGTAGGCAGTGCACGGCAATGAGCAAACCCATTTGGTTTGTGAAAGGTCGTAGAGCAGATGTAGGCTAGTGCACGTGTATGACGCTGAAATTGATTCCGCGCGTAGCTGCACACGCCTTGCTCATTATTTTTAAAGACTCTCACGTTGGTGTAGCAAGTCGCACTACACTTGATCACGGACAACCTGGGGCCCCTTCGCTAACAATGGCAAGCACCAGTGGGGGCACTCATACATGCTAATACGGGTCAATTGTCAGGTTGATGCTTAACTTATCCTTGTTTGCCAGTAATTGGGATTATAGTTCCTCAGTAAAGTACAGATTCTAGTACTTTTGTCAGCTTGAGTCCCATCCGTGATTTGAACCCTCACCTTCAGAATCAGGCACCTTATCGCCCGCACAAAAAGTTACTGAGAAAGTGTAATCTCAAATATAACATATGTCACATTTGACCACCTTCTAAATGCGATTTTGTATAAAATTCATTCTGGTTTTAAAGAAAGGTAGACACTGCTTATTCTAATCATGCTGATTGACAGTCCTAGTTTGTTGATTCAAAACATCGGTCTGCTAGCACACACACAATAAATACACAAAAAAGTGAATAAACAGACAAACAAACAAACAATTTAATGTGTAAAATCAAGCAATTTGTGATAACCTTTCCGAGTCTTGCATGGTACTAATTACAATGCACAGAACAAAACTGGAGCCTGGTTCCACTTGCAGACATATTGACAATATTCATGAAATTTTCCCATGATAAAGGATATGAACAATGTCCGAAAGTGACAGTAGGGATTCTTACGATTATGTCATGTATATTATCTTGTATTTATCAGGTTTTTATTACTCCATGTACCTCACACAACAGACATCCAGATTGCACTTGTTTAGTGAACACGTGATCAAACAGTCAGTCACTGATAGCAATCATTGGCTATTTTTCTCTGTGTATCTCATGAACTGTATTTCACCATGTTCAAAAAATCTGATTTTTCCATTTGCAATTTCTTCTTCCCAAAAATGTTAATACTTGATTAGTAAAAGACTGATGTGGAATCAACATATCTGTTACTAATTACTGAGCACAGGAAGCCTTAATTTTTTCAAATAAAAATTTGATAATAATTTGATAATGTTGACAACAGCATTTTTCTCCTTACTAATTTTGGAATGCTATGTAAATGAATAGGGACAGTCGGGCAGCCTTGCCGATTGTATATTTTTTATGTTTCACTGATCTCTCATGCCTCCTTGATCATCAGGATTAGTTTTGTAAAGACGGTGAATGTTATCACCGATCATTTGCCTTTGGATCCTAGGATGAATAATGTTGGTGAACGTATTCATAACCAATACTGATCATTGATCGTTCATAATTTATGGCTAGGGGGGATGATGATGATTTTTATGGAGAAGCATGTACAATGTGACTGACACCCCCCCTAAAATTTATGTACAAAGTAAGTGACCCCCCTCTGCATGTCATGTACAAAATCGATTACCCCCCTCCCCATGTTTTGTAAGCCTGATTTTTAAATATTTTATGTACAAAATTGATGACCCCCTAATACACGCGTGTACAAAATTGATGACCACCCCCAACCCCAGAACAAAATGGGTGACCCCTTCAAATATTACCCCCACCTCCCCAAGCCATAAATTATGAACGGTCCATTATATGCATGGACTAGAAAGATATTATTGCAACATGGCATATCTTGAAAAATTACAATGGTCACACTTTTCTTAATAAGGTTTGTGTACGTTATAAGATTACTTTCTAATTCATCCAGTTCAAAAATATTGATTGATAAAACTAGGTCTCCAGGTAATTGCTATCTTGCAATTTTTTCTTCAGAATTTCTTTTGCAGGCATTTCAATTAGAACTCCTTAAGGCTATAAGGCATTCGTTGAAGAAAACTGGTACCAAATAAATGCGCTTTAACAAGACAGATCATGACAATGAAATTTGGCCAGTCGGTCTTCACTTTCAAGTCATGATCAGACAAGCATTTGACAGTCACGCCCGACTGAAAGGCGACTTACCGATGTTTTCTGGTTCCCTATATCTGCCATGACAATAGCGCACTATCTTCTACATCCAGTCACGTTATTTCATCACAGTAAACCATCACGAAAAATATCCTTCCTGATCACAGGCCATTTTTATCGAAAACCTTAGTGCAAGAGGGTTCCTCAGGCCATGGAGGCAGCCATTTTCAAACAAACCCTTGTTGTTGTATGACGTCACAGATCCCAGCGCCACCGTCGATAAATTTTCTGTGGCGCGTTAATAGTTTATTTGATCGTGATAAATCATTATCTTTTTTTAAAAAAGGCTTAATATGTGATACTAAAGTGTAGAAAAACTTTGATGAGTTTTTTGTATTTTACGTCAATCTGCAGAACCTTTCCGGGGAAAAGGTGAAGGGAGGCTACTCTATTCTTGTAAGCAGGTGCGTGTTGGAAATCTGCCAAATATCCTCTGTTGGTTCAAGTCCCGATGAGAAATTCTTCCGATAGTAATTGGCAGAATGCTTTGTTTGGAGTATCCCCTTTATCGTTCAGTATTGAAAACGGTTTTAAAATATTCATGATGGCCAGTAAATAATCAACTCTGAATCAGCAAATCCAGTGACTGTAATTGTGAGCTAGGATCCATGTCGCAGAGATTGACAACGTTCAATTCACCAATAAACTAAATCTGATCACCTTGGTGCCCATTTACAAAGCGGCCTCAGCGCAACGTCAATGTACTTGGGGGACAGAGAGAGTGTCATCAATTTTGTACGCATGGGTACAACGTTTGAAGCCAAATAATTCTGGTGTCCCCCGCTGTGATATTGGTGAATATTGCTAAAAGCGGAGTAAGACCATACTCGCTCACTCACTCACTCCAACAGACCAAGATCATAACAGTCTGGGACAGATTTGATCATATATTATACATGATATATTGACGTTTTTTCACACTTCTGTAGAGTGTATTTTTATGCCCTGTTATGTGTTGGTTGAATCTGGTTCAAAACACTGAGATTTCATCGATATTGTAACTGTTATTTAGGCTGGGATTGTAATTTGTCTTTGGATTCTATTAATAAGTGGTGATTTTTTCCCATAACATTGAAAATCAAACAAAAACAGGAAATCAGCATATCAGCAATGTGAGGGAGGTCAGTAAAAATCTCACGGGTGAAGATCCAGGTTAGAATTGGTCTTCAGCAACCCATGCTTGTCCTTACAGGGGACTCATGGGATCAAGTAGTTAGGCTTGGTTGACACATGTCATTGTATCCCAGTTGTGTAGATAGATGCTCATTATGTCATTCACTGGATTGTCTTGTTTAGACTCGATAATTTACAGACCGCCGCCATACAGCCGGAATATTTCCGAGTCCGGCATCAAAGGTCAGCAATGTGACAGGTCAGTAAATAACTGACTGACTGAGTTTGGTTTTACGCTGCTTTTAGCAATATTCCAGCAACATCAGGGTGGGGTACACCAGAAATGGGCTTCACACATTGTACCCATGTGGGGATTCGAACCCGGGTCTTCGGCGTGACGAGCCAACGCTTTAACCATTAGGCTACCCCACCACCACCCAAGTAAATAACTAAGTCTGTTCCAGAAAAAACAGTGGTTGATATCATGAGCATGTACACAAATGGGAAAGTGGACATGCAATCAACCAAGTCAGCAGGACTTAGCACATGATCGATTCAGTCACCTCTTAGGAAGAGCCATTTGATTTGTGTTGGTGGGTCGGTGGGAAATATTTTAGAGGACAATCCATTTTTGTCTGCTGCTGTATCAAACAAATTATATATTTCTGAGCACCATTAAACATTGTACATATTTTCACTGCTAAAACATTGTCTGTGGTATTTTCCATATAAAACATTAATTTATTTCACCACTGCCAAATACTATTTACAAATGTATTTGGGTCATTTTTTTAACTATTCATAAAGGAGAGGTGAGGTGAGGTGAGGTGAAATTGGGTTTAACGTCGTGCTTGAGAATATTTCGCTCATATGACGACGTGCATGCGTGTGTATGTGTATGTGCGGCTGCTTGTACTAGGCCAGACTGAAGCTGGTTTTATAGTGCTAGCCCACTGAGATACCATGCCGCAGTGAAGCATGAATACCCCACTCAGACACATTATACTGACTCCAAGCCGACCAGTCCTTGTTGTACCCATTAATGCCGAACGCCAGGCAGGGACCAACAAGTACCATATTTTATCGTCTTTTGGTATGACACGGGTGGGGATCGAACCCGCGACCTTCGGCTCTCAAGGCGGAGACTCTAACCACTACACCACGAAGGCGGTCAACTATTCATAAAAACCACCTCAGTAACCTGACCCTTCCATGGAAATCAAAATGGATGCACCTTTATATCACGCACAGATTGCTTGGAATTATTCTTATCCAGAATCCCCACAGGTATGGAAACTAAACATGCCTAAAATGAAAGTTGACTTCAACAATATCTACACATGATTTATAAGTGTCAAAGGGTTTTAATAGCATTTCCTGCTGACATGATTCCACCACACACTTTCATAAAAGATGGACAAACAAAACGAAACAACATAGCTAATTAACCAAAGCATCTCACTTAGCGAGTGAGTTAGGTTTAACTCTGCCTAGTCCAGTATTCTAGTTTCTTAAAGTGTCACACTGATGTCAGAAAAGCCACAAGTATGGTGCTGACAAACCAAGAGACAAAGGACAACACAAAATTTAAACCCATGATCATAGGATTCTTGCACACCAAGGGGATGTAACTCTGCACATCTGATTCAAACCTATTAGGAAAGCGAGCCATTAGCACCACCTCTTAGCCATTATAAACAAGCAGTAATAATAATGAATACAGATCAGAAAATAAGAGGCAAACTGTCAAACCTTTCAGCTGACTTTTACAACAAGCAAGAAAACTGAGAAACATAATGCTACCTGTACATTGCATCTTCATAGAGATTTCAGAACTGGATTACATGCCATGATTGTAACTTGAACACAGTGTTTATGTTTTCTGGTACTTGACTCTGTTAGACCCAAGGACTGGCATAGATATTAATTAAACAAGCATCTTTACAACAAAGCTTTTGTTTGAATTACCATTTTGATAAAATACAAAACACTGACATGAAATTCTTTAAGTGGCAATTAGAAGCTGTTGAGGAACCATATTTATGAGTAGACAGCTATTGTATTGCAATGGCTGCGATGTTTCGGTGTAGATGCTAACATCACTTGCCTGATACCGGTGTTAGCATCTACACCAAAATGTCGAACTATAGCAACAAAAAAGTTGTCTACCTATAACAAATTTTCCTCTTCACTGGCATGGAAGTTGGCCAACATAATTTCAGTTTGCATAGTGAAAGTTTTTGTATCAATACAATATGGTTCTGTTGTATTTGTTCAGCAACAGCATACACACCACACAAACAAAACAAAGGGTAACATGGCACTTTGGGTGTCTGTTTGAAACACAACAGGATGTCATCAAGAACCCCTTCACCATTAGCTGCCAGGCAACAAGGGAGACCACTGTTCATGATAAAACATTTTAATGTCACATCTTATCAACCTCAAATCTCCAGGTGCACAATTTTGAGGAAAAGTCGGTTGATGTTTTTATTCTGTTTTCTTGTCCGAGCGTGAGTTTAACAAAAGTCCGCCAAGGACGACGGCATGACAGCAGTGCAAGGTGGCGCTGCTCAGTACTGTCGAGGGGTAGGTGTTCCAACACAGCTCAATCAGACCAAGCACCAGGATCCTGCAGGTAAAATGAGTTTTAAAAACAGTTGTGATAGTTTTTTTATTGTATAATGGACAGTGTAATCAATGATATATACATAAGGGCTGCAACGAATCCAGTATGAGGCGAAGTGAGTGAGTGGATATGGTTTTACTCCACTTTTAGCAATATTCCAACATCATCATGGCAGGGGACACCAGAAATGGGCTTCACACATTGTACCCATGTGGGGAATCGAACCCGGGTCTTTAGCATGACAAGCAAACACATTAAGGGACTGTCATTCACATTGTACAAGCTTCTCCATAAAAATCATCATATACCCAGCCCACCCACACACCCTCACCAGCCATAAATTATGAACGGTCCCTAACCACTAAGCTACCCATCACCAAACAGTCCCATAGACTTACCGCAAGACTCCTGGCAATGACGTGGAACACAGAAGATAGTGTAGCGTGTGGAAGTACCACACATAAAACTGGTAGTGGAGGGAGCGACTAAAACTCACTCCTATGAAGTTAGCTGTAAACAGGGGCAGTATAATCTGTAGACACAGTTAAGGCAGAAATAACAACACATAATGTTCATGATAATGATGTTGTTGAGCTCCAACATTCCAGCTTCGGTAGCTGCCCAGTGAAAACTGTCAGCTATCCTCCATCTTACAGACCCGTGAAGATCCGGGGTAGAATAGGTCTTCAGCAACCCATGCTTGCCACAAAAGGCACACATTTTGCGACAGGAACCAGGTTTTCGAGAATGTGTAGTGAACCAGTCCGTAACTGGTGAGGGAGAGTTTTTGTGCGGAAATTAATGTTTTGAGGTCTTCCGCTTTGACAAAACCAGCAACCACAAATATACATCTAGTGTCACCCGTGAAGGTCCGGGTTAGAAAGTGCCTTCAGTAACCTATGCTTGTCGTAAGAGGCGACCAACGGGATCGGGTGGTCAGGCTCGCCTACTTGGTTGACACATGTCATCGGTTCCCAGTTGCGCAGATCGATGTTCATGATGTTGATCACTGGATTGTCTGGTCCAGACTCGATTATTTACAGACCGCCGCCATATAGCTGGAATATTGCTGAGTGCGGCATAAAACTAAACTCACTCACTCCATCTTACAATGTAATAGTGAGTGTGAGTGAGTTTGATTTCGTGCCACTTGTAACAATAGCTATATCACATCAGACTGATGTTAGATCAAAGTCTGAAGTGAGTAGATACAGCAGATTACTGCAGGTATAGAGCTGAGAAATCTAGATAAGTGGGAGTCTACGCCATGGTGACAGGTTTTTTGGATTGCCTAAGGGAGATAACTCTCTACTGTCCATTCAGACACCTTCCAAGACTGGAGCCTGTGCCACCTTTAATGCATGCAGTGATGAGCACCAACAGGACAAAAGGATATGATCTGGAGAAAAGTTTCTTGTCCTAATTTTCATGAAGAAGCCAAATACAGTACTTGGGAATAGTCTGAAAAAGAAAACAAAACATTTTAACAATCCAGCTGAATATATGATGAAACTGCATTATCAGCGGTTAAAATATACTTGTTGACACAGTACATATAGTTCTCCTTAAAAAACATGGATGAGTACCATTGGCTATGCTTTTATTTTTCAGTTCAAATGTAAACTTTCTCAAAATACTGAGAAGCAGTTAATCTATGCGCTCATTGTTGTGTGATGACTCTCAGTGTTATTTCAACCCATATGCAGTGAATCGGACATGACAATGAACTAAAATATGTCCAGATAAAACCTGTGTCATTTTAAAGATGCCAGAAATAGACGCTCACATTTTTAGCATGAAGTTCATGCTTGCTTTATTTTCAATATTCCAGCTATACGGTGTCAGTCTGTAAATAATCTAGTCTGAACCAGACAATCCAGTGATTTACAGCATGAGCAATTGGGATACAATGAAATGTGTCAACCAAGTCAACGAGCCTGATCACCCGATCCCGTTAGTCGCCTCTTACGACAAGCATGGGTTACTGAAGATCAATTCTAACCCAGATATTCACTTGTTCCATACCTCTGGGGAACAAGGCCTTAGTATATAGACACAGTATATTAATTACATCAGTGGCCACTATTATTATCAAACTCACTTTCTCCACTTGACGAGGAAGAACAACAGCAACACTATCACATGGGCTGCCAACAGCGCCACATGAAAATTTCGGTTCAGAAATATTTCCTCTGGGAGAAACCTCCAGTTTACTGTCCATTTGAAGAAAAACTGCCTGCCCAGATCGAATGCTCTGCTGATATACCCGACTGGGTTCTCCTTTAGAAATGGGAAGCCTAGTAACAGCTGAAACAGATTATAAGTGAGTGAGTGAGTGAGTTTAGTGTTACGTTGCACTATTCCAGCTATATGGCGGCGGTCTGTAAATAATTGAGTCTGGACCAGACAATCCAGTGATCAACAGTATGAGCATCGAACTGCGCAATTGGGAACCGATGACGTGTGTCAACCAAGTCAGCGAACCTGACCACCCGGTCCCATTAGTCGCCTCTTACGACAAGCATGGGTTACTGAATATCAATATTCTAACCCGGACATTCACAGGTACAGATTATAAGAACTTGAAACGTACCTATGTAATTTACTGGACACAGTCACCTAAGCACCATATTTGTTTGACGCTATGTAATCTATGAGGGACAGGTTTGTTGTTTAAAAATTGAATCATAAAACTCAAACTTATCAGAAAAAATACCCCCACATTAACAATCTTACTTCAAGTTATCATCTTACTCAAACCATTTAAGATTATACACAAACCAGATGTTATAATACAAACCAGTTTTACAAACAGTGTACACAAACCAGTTGCTTTTAGTTCACAAACCATGTGTTATCATTGAACACAATCCATGTGTTATCATTGTATGCTATCCAGGTGTTATCATTGTATGCAATCCAGGTGTTATCATTGTATGTAATCCAGGGGTTATCATTATATGTAATCCAGGTGTTATCATTGTACACAATCCAGGTGTTATCATTATATGCACTGCAGGGGTTATCATTGTACACAATCCAGGGGTTATCATTGTATGCAATCCAGGTGTTATCATTGTACGCAATCCAGGTGTTATCATTGTATGCAATCCAGGTGTTATCATTGTATGCAATCCAGGTGTTATCATTGTATGCAATCCATGTGTTATCATTGTACACAATCCAGGGGTTATCATTATATGCAATCCAGGGGTTATCATTGTACGCAATCCATGTGTTATCATTGTACACAATCCAGGTGTTATCATTATATGCAATCCAGGTTTTATCATTGCACACAATCCAGGTGTTATCATTGTATGCAATCCATGTGTTATCATTGTATGCAATACAGGTGTTATCATTGTATGCAATCCAGGTGTTGTCACTGTATGCAATCCAGGTGTTATCATTGTACACAATCCAGGTGTTATCATTGTACACAATCCATGTGTTATCATTAAAATGTATGCAATTCAGGTGTTATCATTGTATGCCATCCAGGTGTTATCATTGTACACAAACCAACTGTCACCAATGCATTAAAAAAGCTGTAAACACTATTCAAGAAACAGCTGTTAACAAAGTCAAACAAACCAGGTGTTAACATGACATGCCATCCAGATATTGACGTACCTGAGTGACAGCACATATTGTCAGGCGAAGAATAGTGCCCAGCGTGCCATGTCGAACCATCAACAGTAAGAATACAGCTGGCGCAAACAGCAACAGGTTCATCTTTACAGATACGCCCAGGCTGGAAAAACAAAGAGGGGGTCAAATGGAGTGAGTGAGTGAGTTCAGTTTTACGCCGCTTTTAGCAATATTCCAGCAATATCACGGCGGGAGGTAGCAGATATGGGCTTCACACATTGTACCCATGTGGGGAATCGAACCCCGATTTTGGGCGTGACGAGCAAACGCTGGGTAAAATGGATACAAAGGTGGAAACACTGTTAAACAAATCAGGCATAATGATTTTTTTGTAACTTTGTCACCAAGGACACTGTAAAAGGTTTCAATTATCACAGAAAGAGCAGATGAAAGAGAATCTGGTCCTCACCTGTTTGTTGCTTAACGCTGCACTCGGCAGTATTTCAGCTATATTTCAGTCTGTTAATAATCGAGTGTGAACTAGACAATCCAGTGATCATAACAACATTAGCATCGATCTACGCGATTGGGATACGATGAAAAGTGTAAACCAAGTCAGCGAGCCTGACCACCCGATCCCGTCAGTCATCCTCACCTGTAAAAAAGGCAGCCCAGCATCCAGTGATCACGAAGGAAGAGGGCCACCGCCACATATAACAACAACATGGCAACCGGATCATTGAAGAGTCGCAGGATGAAGATGGAGTGTATCCTGTACGATGTGCAGCACATGAACACATACATGTATGGAGGCACCTGGAAGACAGAAATTGACACTGGAGGTGGAACAATCTTGTGTCCTACATCTCCCTCCTACCTAGCCCTTTCTGCAATGCTGAAGCCCTAAATTAAGCAAGTCTAGATTTCCCAGGTTCTGAATCTCCCATCTCACTGGAATTCCTTTTAAATATAAATGAAATTTGTTTCTTTCAAAATTATATATATTTAGAGACTAAAATTAGTCTATTGTAAACATGTCTTTTTAAATACCATGCAAGTTTTTTTGCTCATTGGAGAGGGGCAGGGCAAGAAATAGGAAATACATTATTACTCCAACTGACCTTTCTGGTGTGTCTGTAGATATCGAAGACGACAAGCAGTGTCAGCATGTACAAGGCCGCAAAGATGTACTGTCCAGTCTTGAGGTCTGTGCCCTTCTCAGTCACATAGTAAAACAAGCTGTAGATGTACACAAACCCTGCTGGGTACCTGCAACATAGCAACTCAATAAACTAATGTTCAGGCCTAGTTGCATGGAAGTGGTGGTGGCTGAGTGGGTTAGATGGCTGACTTTGGGTGCTGGCGATTAGGTGCCTGACTCTGAGAGTGTGGGTTTGAATCCCGGATGGGACTCAACAGAACAAAAGACAAAAGTACTAGAATCTGTACTTTACTGAGAAAGTGAATCCCAAATGTAACATGTTACATTTGACCACTTTCTAAATGGCATTGTCTATTCATAATGTTCAGACCTTTTGGTCTTTTGCTGAATGAAAGATTTTTAACCCTTTCAAAATATCTTCAATTGCAGGTTAAAACTATATGCATAAATTTAATTATATTTTACATTCCATGTTGTACTTTTACTTGGTCAACAGGTTTCGATTTTGATTATTACTGTTAAAGTTGACCCCACTGTACTCATATTTTCATGGCTTTGAAAACCCAAATCATCTCTGAGAGTCCCTTGGACAAACATAACATATACATGTTTTTGTAAATCATGCATTGATATCAGTATAGTTACACAAGTGGTCCTGTATCGCCTTTCAGCTTCATGTAGTCGTATGTGCCGTTCAGGACACCTCCAACTTCCTGCATGTATGCAATCCAGTCTATTTCTGTGTCTGAAACATAAATACCAACAGTGATGATGGCATGTGATATTGTCAGTTCAAGACTTAACTTTTCTCGTCAAGTATGCACAATAACTGTTCCCCATTACAAGGATCCATGAAGCAAATTAGAACTGAGCACAGAAAAGAATACATCACTTAAATTTGGGCAGACTGAGTTCACTTTTGGATCAGTAGAGTCTTAGAAGACATTCATAAAAGAATACCTTTGTGCATAAGAGCTCAGGGATTTGCTGACACAAGTTCAGTTTTCAATGTCAAACCCAATAACATCGGTTCTAAAATTCCTATCGATCCTTTCACGGATCTTTAAGTTCAAAGGCAGAAATATTTGTAATCGGAGTAAACAGCTGGTGACAAATCTAACTTAGAAACTAAATTTATGTATCTCCTAGTTGAGTGTGAATTATCGTAAACAGACGCATATTGTTGTTTTAAATTACTCGTGTATACATTCATCGATGTCATGCTTGCATTTCTGTTGATTAGGGCGAAACACACCATCGATTCAACATGATCAGTTAGTGATCGAAAATTGGACTACCGGCTTCAAATTGACAGTTCTGATGTTTGTACTTACATTTGATTTTGTTAATCACGACAAAATTGACAGCAACCTCGGCCAGAAGTAGCAGAATCATAATCATCCAAGAAAAATCTGGATCAAAGAGGAATCGCTTCACATACTTTATTGAAAACATACTGCCTTCTTTCTTCGCCGTGGAGGCTGCCATTTTCTGTCACGTGTGTCAACGCATTCGCGTGATCTGTTAGTGTAGTATGCCGAAAACGCTTCGTTCGCGCAATTGTTCACTCCGATGCATTTCGATGATTGTGAACCAGGGACTCACAGCCTAAGCTTGAGTCGGTTCAGGGAGATTTAAAGCTCTGGATAATGTTTGTTACAGACAGCGTATTTTCCCGAACACTGTATCGTGATATTTTTCTGTTTCTCCCATGACACAATTGTTCAAAGTGAGTGAGTGAGTTAGGTTTTAAGCCGCTTTTAGCAATATTCCAGCAATATCGCGACGGTGGACACAGGAGTTGGGCTTCACACTTTGTACCCATGTGTAGAAACGAATCCGGGTCTACGGCACGACGAGCGAACGCATTAACCACTGGGCTACCTCACCGCCCCCAACTGTTCGAAGACAGCAGGGCGACTAGACAGTCAGCATATCATGGTAGAATCTGACAAAAAATATTTTGGGATATCTCCCAATCCGCTCTTTCAGCTATTTGTTGAAATCTTTGACCGTCTTCTCCAGAATGATCGACAATGTAGTGTTTTTCATTTCTAAGGGGCGGTGGGGTGGCCTAGTGGTTAAAGCATCTGCTCGTCACGCTGAAGGCCTGGGTTCGATTCCCAAATTGGGTACAATGTGTGAAGCCCATATCTGTTGCCCCCCCGCCGTGATATTGCTGGACTATTGCTAAAAGCGGCGTAAAACCATATTCACTCCCTCACTTCTAAAGACATGGAACTCGCTTGATCTGTCAGAAGTGTTATTTCAGTTTTAACTCTCTCAGATATTTTGTTTATCGGAAGATGATTTTATATCAATTAGATCTGAAAGGATAGTACATGATTTTACCCAGCCAGGGATAAAACAAGGACTGTTTGCTCGGAGTCATTGTACAGTTTCTTAGTCTGTCTCACAGCTGCGGAACCATGGTATTTTCCCTCCCGGCCAACCTTTTCTACAATATCAAAGTCCATAGCGAAACAATTCTAGATTTCCTCAGATTCTGAATTTCCGAGTTCACTGGATTTCCTTTTCAATTTAATTTGAGGTGTATCAGAATTACATGTTTACAGAAATTGAGTGGGCATCTGTGAGTGTTATAAGGTTTCTCAGTGGGTATTATTCGGTAAAGGCACATACACAAATGTATATAACGCTCGACCGCGATCTTCTGTTTTGTTGATAATGCAGCTTGTTGAGCTCTGAAGTGTCCCCATTTCAAATTTGCACTTTGTCAAAGAATTCACTTGGGAACATGTACAGCAATGGTCCATTTGTTTCTACTTTCATTTTCAGTGCTTCAATTGGTTCGTCATAATACACGTGTGAAAATGGTGAAAATGTTACATTTTATGGCATAAAATCTGTGTTTCCTGTGATATTTTAACATTAGTTCCAAGCAGACCTGAAAATGGATGGCGCTTAAGCGTCGGACCTATTACCGGTTGGTTGGTTGTTGTTTAACGCCGCACTCAGCAAAGTTCGCTCTATGTGGCGGCGGTCTGTAAATAATGGAGTCGGGACCAGTCTTATATTGGGCCGATGCGACAATGATGCGACGAGTAGAAGAGTCGCCTAGGTGAACATGGAAGTGGAGCCGCCTCGGGTGCAGAGAGGTGGAAGAAGCAAATATTCAAAAGTGAACGATGAACGATCCACGCCATCGGAACATACACGCTGACACGCAGTCACTTAGATCAGACATGATGACCATGCAATCCGCAATTGTAGTCGACGTCCGTTTGATGTGGGGGACGAACTTCTCATGCCCTGGAACATTCCTATTATAATAGCTGATGGCATTGGGATTCTAAGTCGTGTGAGGCACCGCAGTTAGCTGTGTTGTGTTGTATCCCTTCGCATCCAAGTGCTATAGAGTGTGGGTTCGAATTCCGGATGGGACTCAATCGCCCAAAGTAGAAGAATCTGTACTTCACTGAGGAGTGAGTGAGTTTAGTTTTACGCCGCTTTTAGCAATATTTCAGCAATATCACGGCGGGGAACACCAGAAATGGGCTTCACACATTGTACCCATGGGGAATCGAACCCGGGTCTTCGGCGTGACGAGCGAACGCTTTAAACACTAGGCTACCCCACCGCCCCACTTTATTGAGGAAGTGTAATCCCAGTTGTAACATTTGTTGTATTTGACCACTTTCTAAATGGCATTGAGAATTCACAGCTTCGGCAATTGGAGCCATGCCAGTTTACACTTGTCAGAGGGGTGCACAATGTTCATGATCTAGGCTACAAGTTGTCAGACTTCCATTTCAGTGGAATCTGCAGTGGCTCAGTGGGTTAGATCGCTGACTTTGTGTGCTGGCAATTAGATGCCCCACTCTGAAAGTGTGGGTTCGAATCCCAGATGGGACTTAATCCCTCAAAGTACTAGATTCTGTACTTTACTGAGAAAGTGTAATCCCAAATATAACACGCTACATTTGACCACTTTCTAAAGGGCACTGTTCATTCGCAGTGTATGGTTCTATGCCGCTTGACATTACATGTATGAGTGAGTGAGTTTAGTTTTACGCCGCACTTAGCAATATTCCAACTATATGGCGGCCGTCTGTAAATAATTGAGTCTGGACCATACAATCCAGTGATCAACAGCATGGGCATCGATCTGCGCAATTGGGAACCGATGACAAGTGTCAACCAAGTCAACGAGCCTGACCACCCGATCCCGTTAGTCGCCTATTACGACAAGCATGGGTTACTGAAGGCACTTTCTAACCCGGACCTTCACGGGTGACACTAGATGTATATTTGTGGTTGCTGGTTTTGTCAAAGCGGAAGACCTCAAAACATTAATTTCCGCACAAAAACTCTCCCTCACCAGTTACGGACTGGTTCACTACACATTCTCGAAAACCTGGTTCCTGTCGCAAAATGTGTGGTGGCTAGAGTTGCATTTCTTTGCAGTTCCAGGATCTGCTGAACGTGGATTCAAAACCAGAATTTCTTGCGATTTTCTTCGATCTACTTTTCTCGCACTACGATCTGGTAGCGAGTGACGTTTAACGCAACAGTATTCCTTCAATATCATAACGAAATATACATGTCTGGATCAGGCAAATCCACTTCTTGTGCGTTACTGACGACCTACGAGGAATACGACACACAATCGGTCACACAATCTGACCACCGATAACATGAGGCCCCCTTAGGTGTTCTGGTGATCTGAATTCTTCGGGGTTAAGGAAGTTCCCGTGGCGTTACCGCCCTTTCTGGGGCTCTCAGCTTCGTGGAAACTCTGTTTACCGTAATTCTCGGCCCCGTTCCTCAAAGCGATCGTAGCGCTACGACTGTCGTAAGTCTATGTTAAAGTATGCGAGTTACGATCTTCTTTGCGCTACGATCCGATCATCGCTTTGAAGAAGCTGTCAGATCGGCCTTAAACTCAACTCACTCACCAGGGAGAGCTCACGAGACGAGTATATCTCCTTCTATACGGCTTGTTGTTTGTTTCATTGTTGTCTGTCGTCTATCTGCAATCAATCCATATGTATGAGGGCGGTCTGTAACCAAACGAGTCTAGACCAGACAACCCAGTAATTAACATCATGACCATCCATCTTGACCAGTACTTCTGGACCTGGCTAACCAGTGATTGTGATGGTGTTACAGCTGCTTATCTAGACCAGACAAACCAGTAGTTGTAATAGTGTTACAGCTGCACATCTAGACCAGACAAACCAGTGATTGTGACAATGTTACAGCTGTACTTCTAGATCAGACAAACCAGTGGCTGTGACAGTGTTACAGCTGCACATCTAGACCAGACAAATCAGTGGTTGTGACAGTGTTACAGCTGCACATCTAGACCAAACAAACCAGTGGTTGTGACAGTGTTACAGCTGCACATCTAGACCAAACAAACCAGTGGTTGTGACAGTGTTACAGCTGCACATCTAGACCAGACAAATCAGTGATTGTGACAGTGTTACAGCGGCACATCTAGACAAGACAAACCAGTCATTGTGACAGTGTTACAGCTGCACATCTAGACCAGACAAACCAGTGCTTGTGACAGTGTTACAGCTGCACATCTAGACCAAACAAATCAGTGATTGTGACAGTGTTACAGCTGCATATCTAGACCAGACAAATCAGTGGTTGTGACAGTGTTACAGCTGCACATCTAGACCAAACAAATCGGTGGTTGTGACAGTGTTACAGCTTCACATCTAGACCAAACAAACCAGTGGTTGTGACAGTGTTACAGCTGCACATCTAGACCAGACAAACCAGTGCTTGTGACAGTGTTACAGCTGCACATCTAGACCAAACAAATCGGTGGTTGTGACAGTGTTACAGCTGCACTTCTAGACCAGACAAACCAGTGGTTGTGACAGTGTTACAGCTGCACATCTAGACAAGACAAACCAGTTGTTGTGACAGTGTTACAGCTGCACATTTAGTCCAGACAAACCGGTGGTTGTGACAGTGTTACAACTACACATTTAGACCACACAAACCAGTGGTTGTGACAGTGTTACAGCTGCACATCTAGACTAAACAAATCGGTGGTTGTGACAGTGTTACAGCTGCACATCTAGACCAAACAAACCAGTGGTTGTGACAGTGTTACAGCTGCACATCTAGACCAGACAAACCAGTGCTTGTGACAGTGTTGCAGCTGCAAATCTAGACCAGACAAATCAGTGGTTGTGACAGTGTTACAGCTGCACATCTAGACCAAACAAACCAGTGGTTGTGACAGTGTTACAGCTGCACATCTAGACCAAACAAACCAGTGGTTGTGACAGTGTTACAGCTGCACATCTAGACCAGACAAACCAGTGCTTGTGACAGTGTTACAGCTGCAAATCTAGACCAGACAAACCAGTGGTTGTGACAGTGTTACAGCTGAACATCTAGACCAAACAAACCAGTGGTTGTGACAGTGTTACAGCTGCACATCTAGACCAGACAAATCAGTGATTGTGACAGTGTTACAGAGGCACATCTAGACAAGACAA